TTCTGCTGTGATTTACCCTATACATAATTTGCCACCTTTACAGACCCCGTGATTTATTGCTTTTTCCTGTTGGAATTAAGCACTAATAAATACGCAGCCCAATCCGGCACATTTACCACTTTGTCGTCATCATGTAATAATCGAGTTAGATGAGAATGATCGAAATGAATTCTTTACTCAAATTCTGCCTCTATTTATTCATTCTTAATATCAGTATCTTAAGTGTACTCTACAGGTTAACTCACCCATTTGAACCAAACCAAACTAAGCCATCTTTTACATAAATCAGCTTAATAACATATGAATACTGATTGGGTAGGCAAGCGATGTTATATCCATTGTAATTACTTTCATGATTGTGGTACTACTATGGAGTTGATTCAGCATCCGGATTAACTTGTACATCGTAATCTATCGATCCTTATTTAGTACTAGAGTGAGCTTCATATGCTTTGATTGAATCAAGATTGGTTTCGACACAATTAACCAGCCGCAGAAACGGAGCATTTGGTTATGTGAAGTATCATGATCTGTGCTTAGGCTAATTCGCTGCTGCCCTGCTTAATCGTAGATGAAACAATCGATCCAGCCGGTTTCGATTGGGTTCAGCCGCAAATAGCTGCGTCAAACCTTTTGGTTACAAGTTCACTTTTAAACTTCCTTTAAGTATTTGATCCCCTTTTCAGAATTATATTACGCCTCGAAAAATGGAACTGAGACGAACAGATTCCCGTGGAAGTGGCAGTCGAACCGTTCGCTGACCTTGGCAAGTTTGGTGCATACACTTCATCACCAGTCGAGCTGACATCATCGGTACGTTGTTGAGTACCGTGTAGCAAGCAGCGTAGCGTGGGAAATTCTTGGAAATTCAAGACCATCTTAGGTTGTTTACGATTTGCTCATTGCTCCTTAGGCATAATTCACTTGCTTCTCATAATGGCTGGGCCAGATTCGGCCAATAAATATCGGAGGCATTCACCAAACTATACTTGTTCAGCATTACATTTTTACCACCCTTCGGTTTGAATCTGGATCGTTATGATATTCTCGGTATAGAACGCATATGTCGGCAAGCGCGGTTGAGCTTGCTAATACCTAAATTTATATTTTTAGAGAACAGGGATTTAGTTGGCCACGTTTTGGAGCATAGTGTACTGGATGCAGACCAAAAGAAGCGAATTTCTTTAGCTGGCTCTTGTTATCTGTTTTTTCATACTTAACCCGTGAAGAGTGCGGAATCGTCCAGAGTCCTACCAATGCTTCTGACACCCTCCCGGATTACCAGTCCTTTGTTGTGTGCCAAAGACGAAAGGATGATAACGATCTGGTGGATTCGATTTAACAGACGGTCAGACGCGTATATCGTTTGAAGACAAAAGTTGCCGGATGCATGCAATTACCAGCATTCGTCTTCTTATCATCCTTTACAAATACTGAAGGGAATTAGCTGCTTTACGCTTGTCGTTGAGATGGATCAAAAGTACGTGTACAATGTCGATGTTATTCCCACGGCAGTGAAGCAACATAACCAGCTGAGCAAGTTGCTTCAGTGTTATCGGCAGATTCCAGTATTCGGTGTGAAGAGGATTTTCGCTTCATAACAAATGTAGGTTGTACTTGGCTGTTTCATGGAGGATCGTAGAAGGCCTAACAGTGATAAGCAGTATTATCGTCTGAAGGTACTACATACAATCTGATTGCTGTACTACGTCAGAGGTAGAATATTTATCTTTCTTGATCTAACATTAAAGTGAATGAAACGACAAGGAAATAGTGACTGATGATCTAGCGAACAGGACAAGAATTGACATTAACCAAGCTAGAGTTACCCCACAGGGTGTTCGAAAATGCATGTGTCGATTTGTAAACGGAGTTGAATAATTTCTTTCTGTTAGTTCCATCTTCAACCCGGGTGGTTTGAAACATGCAGAGTTATCGACATGACTAGCACCGAGTGGATTGCAACCAAACATTCACGAATGGCGGGCGATACACCACCCGAATCAACTCAAACAATCAATGCCTCGGGCTAAGCAAGGACTTAACTGGTGCCCCAAACTCACCCCGTCGTCTTCCAGCCCAACTTCACCTATACATTGTTCTACAGCTAACTACTTTGCCACTGCGTCATCGGTAAAATATGCCTACAGTTCGTTGCACATGAACTTGATTATATCTTTGAAACGCAGCCTCTCCCTACACTTTTCTGACTCATCGCTTGGATTCACATTTTGGATGGTATGCCGAATGTACGCGAAAAGTTAGTACCTCAATCTATTGGACACCCTTCCGACCGCTTTCCCGACAAATGTCCGCTAGCGATGATTACGCTTTCATTCGGACAGCGTTCACTGTCAGTCAGGACAGACCGTTGCGGTCAAGGTCGCCGAACACGATGTTCCACTTACAGTACTGCCGTCTGTTACAAATGGGTGGTAGGGTAAGAAAACAGGGCTCCATGTTGTACAGGCTGGGCTTGGAAACTGTGCTTACATGGTCGGGGAAGCGACAGCTGCATGTGGGAACACACTGGGGTCAAGTCCCGTTGAATTAATCAGCAAAGACTGACGCATCCGCTCAGTTAACGTGACCCCAACGCATCTTTGCTCGTCCCAAAGACCTGCTAGGGTCATCAGACAGAACAGACGACACTGAAAAGCAATGGTGGAACATGTCGTCATGCTGTCGAAGCAAACACACCAGTTTCCCCGCCGTGGATAGTAATCCAAAGAGGACTTTAAATCTGGGGTCGTTGCGTGGGTAACATTTTAAGTATGCCAAACTTGGATTGATAACTCTGTCAGCGAATCGAATCGTGGTGATTTTAAGACCAACACACTATAACGAGTGCCTGTAAACCATTGTTTTACTGACTGAGCAACTGCTGCAGTAAGTCGGGTTAGAGAACGAGGCTGATCACACTATTACGATCAAAAAAGACCCGTCATCGACTGGGCTATGAAGAATCGAGAATGCGTGCACAGCACAGGATCTAGTTGTCCCCTACGCGGAACTACTACACATACCGTGTGGGTGATGAAGAGATGAAGACACGTAGAGCAGCCGTTGGTAATTCCCATTTCGTACTCCTTCTACGCCGTGTAGAATTACGGTCACTCTTCTGGATTGGCTGGCGATCAGCGAAACTGGAATCCTAACATTTATTTTCGATCTGAAAGGTTACTTTCGGGTACAGAGGTAGTTAGCCCAGCCACAGCATGCAACACTTCGTGAATTTGCATCTCAGAATGAGATGTGGGCGGAATAAACGGCACTGTGAGCAACAGATAGCCTGGCAGAGAATTAAGAGTGCTACTGTGGTTCGGCATACTGGTGTACGATACCAACTAACCAGTGCGTCCTGATATAACCGACAACGCAGCTCAAAGGTACGCAGATGGAGCACACAAAGAGATCCGTTACAACGCTGCACAACTCTTCATCGCGATGTTGATACTCGCTTGTTTCGCCATTTGTGGAATTTTTGTAAGTCAATTACTGTCGCCCAGCCGAGTTGCTTATGCAGCCCGGCACCCAGCGTTTTGTGTTTTGAGGAAGTAGGGTGTCTAAGGCCAAGTGTACTATAATAGCGCACGTACTGTATCTGAGTAACGTAAAATAACAGCCCTATCTTTTTCACCTGGTAAATACATGAGAAAACACCAAAGATGAAGTCGGAGCCACCAAGGCCACCGGCCTGAGCACACAAATCCCTGCATGAGAATAAATACTGCAAACAACCGAGTGAACATTTAGTACTTCTGCAACCAGAAGGCTTTCATAACTCTTTGTAGGCTGAAATGCAACCACTTGCAGCCTACAAGTGCAGATGACATAGGTACGTGAAAAAATAGCAGCAATCTTTTAACCATTTTAAATTCATTTTTGTCTTCGCCAACATGTTCGTTTGGATTTGGTGATCGTCTGTATGGGTGTTAACAGACGCCGTATCGGTGTCTGTATCCGCAAGCCCCAGGGAAAACCGCAAGTATCATTAAAAAAAACCTCCATGGTACGATTTGCTCATCAAAGTAAGGCAAGTTGATATGTGAGTAATTTCCTAAGTGCTGATCCGGTAATCTCAGAGCTGGATTTCGCACACTCGATTAGGGCGTGTATCAGGCCTCAATGATTTTGGGATGTTGTATGTGATACGTGTGCTCTCGGAACCTTTGACATATTGAACTCGATGGGCTTATTTTATCATTGCCTAACTTATCCAGCCCATCAGTGACTTCCTGAGATGCGCTTCAGGAGCAGATGGGGCGAAGTGGTCTGCTCTTTTAGCTGCCTACAGGTACTGATTGTATCGCCGCTTGAAACTCCCCCCCCCCCAAATGAGGACCTATGATAACTCGTTTAATCCTCACTCTCCAATTGCTATCAAACTAGACAATGGCCACCACAATATGCAAATCTCCGTTTCTGTGGAGCAACAGCAATCGTTCTCAGTCCAAATATCCATAAATAGTAATTTAATGAATACGGAATCTAGTAGTGGTGAGTGAATGGTCCTCCGGATACCATTAAGACGGCTAACGTGTATAAGCACGTAAAAACATAGTAGGGTATACTAGCTGGGAAGTAATTGGAAAATGCCTGGACTCCATGAATTGCTCAGATGAGAGTTCCTATGTAGGTAGGAAATACGCAGAAATGTGGCCAGGCTCTGTGGCCATGACCTCAGAGTGGGAGCATCCTGCAGTACTGCAATGGTATGGCTCCGAGGGGGGTGTATAGGCTGTGATAATGAATCGAACTGGCTGATAAATTTAATTCAACCGTTCGACCCTTAGGATTAACCGTTGCCCACTTGTGCATTTGAACGGTCATGTCCGTAGGTTCAGAGAGTAAAACTAATTTTTAGTAAACAAACTAAAAGTCGGACTACAATCAATCACAACACTTTAATAGCTGTTGAGACCTAGAAGCACGTGCACATTTGAGGTTAAAATAGTGCTCGTTAAAGCAATTGGGTTAAAATGACCCAAATGACTCACCAAAACCACTGTCCATCTGGGAGACTTCGGGTTAAGATGACGTATCACGGTCAGAGCGAATGCGAAGACACGTGATGGTGACAGCCACCTTTATGCTTAGGTCAAGAAATGTGTCATGCCTGTCTGACTTGCGACTCAGCCTCTGCTATTGGTCAGATTCCTTCCGTCTTCCAATAGGTGAAGAGATACGGCTTACCGGCCCGTATCACTGGCCGGTTTCTGGCCATTTGTGCGACGGGACGCCACAAGTATGACGTAAGGATTAGATCATGTATGTGGCTCGGCAAGCGGACTGCACACATACCACCGCACACGCACATGCTCATTGTCCGACAGCGGTGGATGAGGTGACCTGATGGAACAGTGGTAACCGCTTCCACCATGCATCTGGGGGGGGGGGTGTCGTTCAGTCAGGCATGACGGATAGCTGTCGTCTGGCGAACCGAACGACTATCAGTTCAGCCCACGATCACTGATGATGTAACCAGTTGACCAAGCCGACCACAGACAAGGGGGAGCAGGATGTTGGGGTCAGTCACTAAATGACGCTTACTGAGTCCAGACGTTTGAGGTCACGAACATGTAGTCTGCGGTCAAAAGAAGCCGATGAAATTGGTGATGTTGCATAGGTGACATCGGGCCAGGGGGTCTAATTGATGGAGTTTGTCTCTGATTCTTAGCCCAGGAGATTCATTTCAGCCTGATCGAATCGATTGCTCAAGCTGATTGTGTGCAGAGGATGTAGTTAACCAAAGTACCTGGTCATCTGACAGTCTTCACTACCTATATTATCGTTATGGAATACATTTGCCCCATCGGTACTGGCTCAAATATCCGTATTCCAGTGCATTAAGGAAATCGAATCTTCACTCAGTGAAGTGAATCGACACTATTTTCGTGGTTCAGCTCTAGTAGAAAGTAAATTGGGAAACACCGTAATCGCGTGACCAGCACGCTTGTGTTTTGCCAGCAATCGTGGTTATGGATTAGTCGTACTTCAAGTCAGTATCTCAGTATGACCTCGAATCAAAAATATGCTTTAGATGCGAATTAAAACACCACCCGAGAACGTTTCAGTGTGTGGGCTAATCTGTGCGGTAGAGGGTGCAGAACGGTGGGGCTATCCTGCATGCTAGGCAGACCCCGTGTAGCCCAAAGACCGGTGTTTCGGTTTGGCTAAGAGTGGGAGTGACCGCGAAGAGACCCAATGTCTATGTTGACTAGGGGACTTACTACATGAGGATTGGCCTGCTGCTAGTAAGGACTGGTGAACACGCGACCAGTGACCTTCAATTATCTCCAGTGAGCGCTTACTCAACTCGCATGTCAGCGTACTTTGATAGGCATTTAGAACAGCTGGCTTCGTCAGTGGGCTGGTGTCAATGCGCTCACAGCGTCGTCGTAGGCGTCTGTCAAAACACATCCGCATGTCAACACATACAAGTGCATGATCGGTGTCCACACATGTGCTCCAAACTGAGCGACAGTTCTGGATGCAGCCTCTCCAGCGGTAACTGATTACAATGTGATCGGTTTGCGTCCAAGGCTGGTTTGAGGCTGCTGGGAGCCAAGTCACCCTCCGGCAGGTGCTTTGTCGGAAGATAGTGCTAACAAGAAATAAGCGAGCATCTTCACACAAATGGATTAAGCGCTTACCGTTATCATTACAGCAGCCTACACCATATTGACCGCGCAGATGCAATTCATCAGTGGATAAGTTTTCAACTTGTGCGTTCAGATCCCCGGCCAACACTACAGTGTCTGACCTTCTTCTGTGGCGAAGAAGCTCAGTCAGTTGGCGGTAGAAGTCGTTTTCTACCGAATCATCGACAGAGTTTGTGGCCCCGTAGGTAACGATGCTGAATAGACACCTATTAGTCTCACGCGACTTTGAAGCTTTAAACGAGGCAGCCAATCGGACCGCACACATTTGGCTACTGACTGGGATCCACTCAACCAGAGCAGCTTCAGCCCGGGGACTCAGGGCAATGCCAACATCATCTTGTCCGGTGCTCGAAGCTGCATCGTCAGCTGATAGACGCAATGCGAAAATACTACTGTTGTCACCCGAAAGGGATCGCAGAGTGAGCACAGAGCTCGAGTCTTGCAGCCGGGTCTCCGATAAGCAGCAGATATCGATCGAGAGGGTCTCCAATGTTCGGGCAAGTTCTTCCTGTTGACCGATATGAAGCAATGTGCGTACATTGAGACATGCCAATTTGAAGGAGGATCGAGGGCTCCAAATGGGAGCCAATGAACTGAGGTGGACCATTTGGTTGGACATAGGCTTGTCGACAGGGCAGTGGTGATGCTCCGCGTTTGCATGTGACTTGAAACTAGAAGATAAACCCCTAGCAAAGCATGTTGGGGGAGGGCCAAGAATCGGGGGGTTGAAAACGGGGGGATAAAAGCAAAGTTGTAACGGGACCATAAGGGAAGAAAAGCGTAAGAGGGGCATAAGAAGACGGGAAGCTTGCACACGAGCATCCAAACGCCTATGTCAGCCGGTGGCCGAGTGGTCTGCGCACGTGGTTTGCAACCATAAGGTGCCCGGTTCGAATCCGCGTAGCGGTGGGCATCCTCGCGGTATACTCAGCCCGCGCGCGACGTGGTGGTCGAGCGGTAGAGAAGCGCCGTTACGGCGTACAGCTGTCACCTTTATTATATCCAAACGCCTATCCTCCCTGCACGATGGAGCAGATAGGGCACCGTTGATTATCCTCTGCGATGGCCAGAGCATCAGGAATATGTTTGACTTAAGGTTCATGATATTGCGTGGGCAGGATACTGTCAGGCTGCCCAGGCATAGACAGAAGAACGATTAGGGTTCTCGACCAAAGCTCTTGGTTCAAATACCTGACCGCAAGGCAGCGGGTTTGGCTTTGGGCTACAATGAATCCGTTTAATGGAATAAGGAGCCATCCTAATTCCAACCCCCAACCTGGAGGACCAGGAGGCTGAGTTTGTCTGGCCTCTAAACATTGACCAATCTGGTATGAGTGGCTCTGAAAGTGCCAAAAAAACACCATCCAGCATAGCTCAGTGGATCGCTGAGGCACATAAATCATCGAACCACGGTAAGATTAGTCCCGGATAAGTGATGCAGCTTTGTATCATTGAGTGGGCTGAAACCGTCTTTCTCCACTGAGTTCTAAAGACAAAGGGACCCCCAATTACATGCACACTAGTAACAATAATGAAGAGTTTTACAACTGAACAGTGAACAACGGTTTACTGATTAAAGCTTTACAGCTCCTGTAGGATGGTCAGTGTGAGCATCACGACTTACTAAACGTTGTTCATAAAACGGATCCCGCTTCACTGGAGTTATTGCGGTACACAGTTAGACGCAGCTGCGAATACATGCCGCAGAGTAGCACATATTTCGTCAGAATCGGTCAGGCATTAACAGCCTGCTGATGGCTCTTGCATGCTGGACGGAATATACCGGTGCTGTGGTAGGAGTAGATGCTGTCTGTCGGGATTTCTCAATGGCAACTGTCCGTTTGAATTGCATTCTACTTCACAGACTCACGGATTATGGAATCTGTGAGCCTGCTCTTGGTTAAATAGGTAACTTCTCAGTCAGCGTCACCTGAATATAAGGGTTTGTATCACCCTATCAGATCTCATCGAATTGTATTGTGACATATCAAAAGGCTCGGAGCAAGCCTGTTTCTGATGTTCGTAAACAATTTCACGGGGAAGTTATTCTCGCACTTTCTAGTATTCGCTAATGATCAAGAAATAACGTGTGCTATGGCTACATTGGAGGATCACAAAACACAGCAAAGTGATCTGGCTCGAGATTACTTGTGGCCCACGGAGAAATTGGTGTAGTTCAACCCGGACAAATACATAGTTCTGAGCATATGTCAACGAAGCACTCATAATTACCGGCTAGGGCCACGTAGCGTGCAGTGTGATTCCCATAAGTTAACTATGGGCATACTAGCGCGAGATGACCTTGGCTGTTTGAAGCAGACTGAATCAACATCGAGGGAAGCGAAGTGGTACTTTGGCCTTCTGTGTATGGAGGTTAGAAAGTTGGATGCCTCAATTTGTCCACAGGTGCCTGGCCCATCTGGGACCGTAGGTAGAATACACTACCCAAACATGGCAGAAATGGCAGAGTCATCATCCGCCCAAGCTAAGACTTGCACAACAAAGGCTACAAACAGCGTTAAAGGCTTGCTCCACCTTCCCTAGCCCCTTAAATTGTAAGCTCTAAGTGTGTACAGGGGACGTTATCAGCAACTACGGGGCAGTCATATAAAGATGTATCGGATCATGAAGAACCACAAGCATTCTCGTCACAATCTCTTGAAAACCAAACAAAAACACAACTCTGAACGGCCAATTGTCCAGACTGGAAATTCAGTATGGCGGACTAGAATGTCGACGAAATTTTGCTCCATCGGTGTGTCAGCTCTGGACCTCCTTCCCTCGTACATAATTAATCCCCCACCCGCGAATTATTTAAAAATCGACTTGATGACACACGGACACATTTACATTACGTGACACAGCTCATGCCCATCGAATGACAGCATTAGTGCAGAACCAATGGTGTGCTCATCAGGCCCTCTTAAATCCTAGACAGATAGATTCACGTCCGTGCTACTGAACTCATTGACGAATCATGCATCATGCGCCTTATTTCTTGACCACTTGAAAATTATTGAGAATACATGCAGCTCGGGGTGTGGAGGATAGGGTTGATGTGTTCTCTGAGCTGGGCAATTTTCTTGCACTGTTTTCTTCTTTTTATCCTCACCCTAACCATCTTAGGTGACAGGTCAGTTCTTCACTTTTATCCGCTATTAATAATTGTTCTATTGCAGTATCTTATTTTAATGTACAGGCTGGTTGATACTGTCTGATCTATGTCATCTGTTGGAAAACTCAGGCCAGGTCGATTCATGTAGACACATGCGTATAATTGATTTAAATTTGAAAACATCCCTACGGCTAATACCCGGTCGCAGCAAATATACAAGTTACTGGCATTTCAGGTTGGTGTTTTGTCTCCTTTTCTGTAGTGACTGCAAACATGTTTGGGA